GCTACATAGTGAAATACAAGACCAAACTGGGACACCTAAATTTTTTTGAGACAGGGTCTACCTATAGTCCCAGCTGGCCTGGAACACACTATGGAGACCAGGGTAGCCTTGAACTCACAGAGATCTGCCTGCCTCTACCTCCTGAGTGCTGGCATTAAAAGTGTGTGCCACCATGCGTAGCTGGGACACTTAAATTTGTGGTGCTGGGGATATCCCTCAATTGGCAGTGTTTGTCTACCAAGCATCAAGTCCTGGGTTTGATCCCCAGCACTGAATAAAAAACCAAGCATCATAACACATGCCTATAGCTCTAGCACTTAGGAAGCAGAGGCAGGAATATCAAAGGTTCAAAGTCATTGAAACCAGTCTGAGCTGTTTAGAAAATAAACTTCTGGAGCTAGGCATGGCGGCACATGCCTTATTCCCAGAGGCAGGCAGATCTCTGTGAGTTCAAGGCCAGCGTGGTCTATATAGTGAGTCCCAGGCCAGCTGGGGTCTCAAAAAGACCAAAAATAAATAAATAAATAAATAAATAAATAAATAAATAAATAAATAAATAAAGCAAAATAACATCTTTTGAAGGCTTTAGAAATAAATAGTATAATATATGGATTTTTAAAAGATTTATTTATTGCCGGGCGTGGTGGCGCACGCCTTTAATCCCAGCACTTGGGAGGCAGAGGCAGGCAGATCTCTGTGAGTTTGAGGCCAGCCTGGTCTACAAAGTGAGTCCCAGGACAGCTGAGGCTATAAGGAGACCCTGTCTCAAAAAGTCAAAAAAAAAAAAGATTTATTTATTTTATGTATATGAGTGCTTTGTCTTCATGTCTGTATGTGTACCAGATGTGTGCAGTGACTGTGGAGGCCAGAAAAGGGCATTAGTCCCCTAGAACTGGAGTCACAGGTAGTTGTTAGTCACCACGTGGGTGCTGGGAACAGAATCCAGGTCCTCTGTAAGAGTAATAAGTGCTTGGGGCTGGAGAGATGGCTCAGCAGTTAAGAGCTCTGACTGCTCTTGCAGAGGACTGGGGTTCGATTTCCAGTACTCACATGGCAGCTAACCACCATCCATAACTCCAGTTTCAGGGAATCCAAAGCCCTCTTCTGACCTCTTGGGTCTTGCAAGACATGGGTGCATAAACGCATACGCAGCAATATACTCATACACATAAAATAAAAACGATTTTTTAAAAAGAGTAGCAAGTGCTTTAAAGTGCTGAGCCATCTCTCCAGTCTCTAATTGTGTTCTTTTTTTTACATTTATTTGAAATATCCCTCAAAAATTCCATACTATTTTTATACAATGAAATCAAGTTATTCTTTAAAGGTCAATGTGGAGAAATAGTAAATAACATTTTACAAAAGAAGAGGAGACTGGGTCAAATGTCCTACTGCATAGTAAGACACACTATAAAGCCACAGTCTTTAAAACATTGATTGTTAAGGTAGGGGTAGGTTAGAATGGAATCAAGAATGTACAGCCAGGCATGAAATCCAGATCGATGGTAATGGTGATATTTCAAACTGGTGGGGAAAGAATAGATACACAATCAATAGCACTAATCACACAAGAAAAAGGAAATTTCAGTCCATATTTCCTAGAGAACCTCCAAATAATTTGCAGATAAGATAGTACCCTGAAGATTAAAAATATCCTTTTGAAATTACCAGAAGAGACTTTAGGAGAATGTCTCCATGACCTTGTGGGTAGGAAAACCCTTCCTTAGAAGGGAAAGATTTTCCTTTTATGACAGATCATTATAAAAGAAAAATGTTAGCCATGCGTGGTGGTGCACGCCTGCAGTCCCAGCCCTTGGGAGGCAAAGGCAGGCGGATCTCTGTGAGTTCAAGGCCAGCCTGGTCTACAGAGTGAGTTCCAGGACAGCTGGGGCTACAGAGAGACCCTGCTTCAAAAAGACAAAAAAATTGAAAAAAAAAAGAAATAAAAAAAGAAAAATGTTATCAGATTTATCACACTAAAAATTCCAAGTTCTGTCACAAGTACCTTTTAAAAAGGTTTTTTGTTTTGTTTGTTTTTGTTTTTAAGATATGTGGTGCTGGTAAGATGACTCACTGGGTAAAAGCGCTTGCCACCAACCTGATGGCCTGAGTTTGATCCCTGGGACCTGCATGGTGGAAGGAGAGAAATGACTCCTACATGCTGTCCTCTGACCTCCACACACAGGCTGTGCACACATGTGCTCACACACATACACATACACACAGTAAATAAGTAGGGGTTTTTTTTGTTTTTGTTTCTGTTTATTGGCCTTTTTGAGACAGGGTCTCCCTGCAGCCACAGCTGACCTGGAACTTGCTATGGAGACCAGGCTGGCATAAGTGGGGTTTTTTTAAGGAGATATATGCAAAAAAAGTATTTATAACACATATAATAGATCAATGACTGAATTCTAGGAAACAGAAACAACACAGTAAGTGAAAGATATGAAGGAACAGATAACATAAGTAACCAGTGG